ATTTACATAACCAAACTTTATCCCTTCTATTATGCAAGTCAAACCATTAATGACTACTAGTGCATAAATATAGTATACAATTCCTCTCTTGTAAAAATAACAAAAGTCGGCATATGTTTTTCTTTAAAATGTTTGACCAATGAATATATATATTATCTTATATATTAAAATACCAACCAAACATTATCATTAATGTCTCACAATTCATCTTACTATAAAACTTCTCTAGGTTGCTCGATTGTGTGAAGAACCATGTCCTCTTGTTTGCTCTATAGAATGTATAAATATTTGATTGCATTTGATGGTTATTAGGTCAAAGCCAAAATAGATTAAAAAAATAATAATGTAGTTATGTAATTATTTGCATAACTTATAATAAACAAATATCTTAAATATATAGCGATTCAAGGATCATGAATCAAATCTTTTCAAAGCTTTCTTAGAATTCAAAATGGGTTGAAACATATAACTAAGTCATGATATTGATTTGGTGCGCAAATAACATCTTCATGTAAAGTCCTCATAAATAAAACATAAGCAACTTTAAATTAAACTTATTCTCTCTATTTGAAATTAAAAGAATACTAGTCCAACTAGTGTAATATAAATTAACGAAAGATTATGCATGTAAGAAGGTCATGAATTAAAGTGAAAGAAAGTGCATGTCCCCTAATTCTAATCCACAACTTCGTATCTCGTGAATTTTCAATTGAAAAATCATACAAAATCAAATTGTCAAGAAGGTTTTATCCTTCCCTATGGCTTTGACATCATTCTAAATTCCTAAAAGGTGCCAACCATTACAATGCTTCCCAATTGTGAATAGCTTTACCCATGAATTATCATTCTATAGTACCCACAAATCAAAGTTCCAACTGGCCAAATGATAATATTTACCTAAGAACATAATAAGTGAATCTTTGTACACCATCATTTTACAAAATTTACACCAACACTATTTTATAACTCGTTAAGATCTTGACGGAGTCAAAAGCTAAAAACTATATTAGGATATGTTGTTAGAGATATTGTACGATCGATAGGGAATAATTAATGTTTTCTCACTGGATTCCATAAAATTACTTGCATGTGTCCACCATAAAATAGACGTGCTAAGACAAATCAAACCATTAATAGAATCCATAGCATTTTCTATGGAATCCATACAACTCGTATGTTTTGAAAGGCATGTCTTCATCGTGGAGTTTTACTTCATTGCCAAGCAATGATATTCTATATTTTTTATTATTTTCTTCATCATGCAACTCGCGGAGGAGAGAAAGATTCACGTTTGACACATGATGGAGGTAAGTGGTAATAGAATTAAGGCTTCGATTAGAGCTAGCTAGTGTTTTGATACACACTTGAATTGAAATAAAGATTTTACTTGTGTGATTTTGATAGAATTTCTATGATGATATCTTTTTATAAAGAAGAGTATCTTTTTTTCTCTCTTTTTGCAAAAAAATAATATAGAGTTTGTAGGAACCGAAGCAAAAATTATCGTTATGGTTTATTTTTTACAAGTTCATTATGTATATAAGCTTAATCCAACCTAATTTAACCCCTAATTGAAGTTGTTGAGAATAATTAGGGGATCGACTGCCTTGAAAAGGACTCCCAATATAGAATAGGACTTCTTATGTAAATCTAAGTGATAGTCCCAAGAATAAACCGAATTTTGCCATGACGGCCTATGACAACGGAAGCTCTCGACTACCTTGTTTAAACTTCTAACGTTTAGGACTATTAGTCTTCATTAGGATGGGCAAATAAGAAAATGATGAAGCATAAAACTAGAAAAGAACTTTTTAATTACAATTTATAAATTGCTAAAATATATATTTTGGTGTATTTGGGGTGTTTATTTTCCCTTTTCCGCCCTAAATCTTCTCTATACCTTTATATTTTTTTAAAAAAATTACTTTAGAAATTAGAAATTGAGATTTTAAATAGAAAATATCAAAGTACTTCTTTTAATGTCAAAAAATGATGTCTTCGTGGTTAAAAGTTTGAAACTTCACTAGAATGTCCGGAGCCAAATCTTACGATGAGCGAAGGAAGTATTAAAACTAATGAGAAGAAAAAAAATTTACTTTAAAAATTAGAAATTAAGATTTTAAATAAAAAATATTATAATGTTTCTTTTAAAGTCCGAAAAAAATGTCTTTAGTTCAAAATTTGAAACTTTACTAGAATGTCTCAATTCAAATCTTGAGAGAAGTGATGGAAGTATTAAAGCTAATGATATACATTGAAAAATGTATATATATATATATAAAAGAAGAAGGGAAAGAAAGAAAGAAACCACCATTTACAACATGATTTTAAACAATTCACAAGCAAATTATAAATTAATCTCTCTAATTTTAATAAATAAATAATTTTTTTTTGAAAATTATTATTTAACTCTTTACCTGGATTGATAATACTTAATTTAATATTATTTTTATTTTATAATTTTTTTCATTAATTTTTTCATATTTTTCTATAGCTTTTCTATAAGAGTTTGAAAATTAAATTACAAGTAGATTTAAAAATACAAAAACTAAATAATTAATTGTTAAAAAAGTTAATTAATTCGTTTTTGGGGACAAGAGGGGTTAATTTATAATTTACTTGAACAACTCAAGAGTTTTTTTTTTTCAAATATAGTATTTTTAAATTTTTATTACTAAAAGAGGGTACTTTTAAACTTATTTATCAAAATATGTATTTATTAACATTTAGACACATATGTCATCAAGTAGTCCCACTGTATTGCTTCACATCTAATTTCAAGTAAAAATCACCATTAATTTCTCATGGATGCAAAATTTTAAATAATCTCTGCATCTAGTGGAACCAAAACTGACAAAAAATAAATAAATTTAAGAGCTCCACTTTTCTTGCTTCTTAAAGAAAATAATCATAAAAAAGACCTCAAGTCAGCTTCACATCAATCTAAATCCCAACTTCAATCCTCTTATCTGATCTACTTCTTTTTTCTTTTGTAACTATAATCTATAAAGTATGTGGAAATAGTTTAATTAGTTTGAAACACATGCTACTCGATTAAGCCTAATCCATTCTATCATTAAGGTCCTAGTCCTGATTAATTAATTAATTATTATTTGTATAGATGTGAAGTAGTTTTTTTAGGAGAGATAATTAAGAGAGACAAAGGATGAGTACACGTAATCTGAAGTTATTGAAAATTAAACTTACAGTTTCTTATTTAAATTGCTAAGTTACAATTCTCTTTTTTGGATTGATTTCATTCTCAAAATTAAACATAAATTCTTTATTTGAGAAATGGGTTTTATCTCGGAATTTGTTTTCTTTGGGATAGGTACTCAAAGCCATCCTAGAATTGTTTTTTTTTCCTTCTTCTTTGAGATGATGTGTGATTTTTTTATATATACTGTTGTATGTGATTTTTTGAGATGTTGTGACACACATAATTGAGTTGGAGAAGGTAATTTTTTATTGAGATGCTTGGTATTTTTTAAAAAATATTAAAATTGATTACAGTTAGTTTTGAGAATCAAGAAGATAAATTAGTTGCAGCAAGGGAAAAATCAGATAGATTAAAATATTTTATGTGACAAAAAATTTTTAGTTTAAAATTATTTTTTAATAATACAGATTTAGAAACATCCTAATTTGGTAAAAAAAAACTCGGACAACTCACTGCACCATTGTTTGGTAACAATCCTTACCACCTAACCTATTAAACCCCTTTAGGCCTAACATACGTATATATCAATACAGTTTATATTACTGGCACCAGAGAGCTTTCCTTACGACACGAAACGCTCTCAAGACTTCTAGAATGACGTCAACTGATTTGCACATCCAAAATAAATTATGCACTCTTTACCTGCTAGCTAATCTATTCGTAGGGAAGTACTAGCAACCAGAATGGAAGATTTTTGTTCATCTATTCTTTTGACTGACAAAAGCTGGTTCATAAAGAATAAGATCACGGTGATCTTTTAATACATATTATATTAAATTGGATGTCCCATATACTCCCCCTTAGATTCAACCCATTTTGACTCATTTTGATCATCACCCATCTGATATTTATACCAGCTATATATTTATTTGACACAGAACCCTAAGTTTCAAGGATGAAAAAAAGAAAAAACGAAAAAAAGAAGACTCATTGCTCCATGTGCAGCTCCTGCCTCAGTAGACTGCAACAACTATGATGTCCATTCAAAACTTTCTACGTACTACGTATATAGGGTAGGACTCTTAGTCTCACACTTGGGAAACTAACCCTTCTCTACGAAGTTAATAGAGGAAGAGTTCAAAGAGACCTCATCATTATTCTTACTAGCTAGTTTTCGCTACCACAAAAAAAGCTCAGCTATTTCCAAAGATTCACACAATGGACGTTACGGGCACTACTGTTTTCATGACTTCTTCTTCTATCATGCAGTCTCTTTCATTGATCAAGCTTTTTACTGTTTGATTTTTACGTTACAGTTGCTTTTTTGTGTTAATTTAACTGTTAATGTTTGCATTGCTTTGTCCTTCTTTTGATAAATCAAAAGATTGAAGTAAGGGAAGCCAAAGGGAAAAAGGCAATCGATGGCAAGCAGAAGCAAAGTATCGGATGCAGAGTTTCAGCTACAAAGGAACCAGCCATATAGAGACATCACAATTTAGTAAGATACCCTCAGTCAAAAGCAAACGTGATGCCCACAGAGTGACACGGTAATGACTGGTTACTGAGAAATTAATTAGTCAGAAAAGAAAGGGTAATAAAACAAAAGAAAAGAAGTTATCAAAAGTAATTTTCTTTTAAATTTTCGAATCTAGCTCTGATATACTTTTTCTTTTTCAGCAACATGAATTTGAATGGAAGTTTCAGAATTATATGTTAAAACACAAAAAAGAAATATAGATATGCGTATTCTTCCTTAATTAGTTATATATTTTTCTTTGCTTGCAAACTGAATTGTACGGTTATTTTGAGGGACTGAAAATGCCATTATCTTTTCCCACTTCTACACTGTTTTAATGACATTCTCGTGCATTAATTTCCCAGTGGTAACGAATCCAGCAATGGACATTGAAGATGGAAGTGAATGTTCTTTCAGGTAAGAGACAAGCCATGCAATTTTCCCCTCTTATTTTGCATAATTAGCGTGTTTTTCATATCGATATACCACCATGAAGCACTCTAGAATTTGGGCTAACACAAGATACATACATTTCTGCACGAACATTGGATTCTGGAACTGAGATTATTTGTTTTTGAGAGATTTATATAATGGTAAACATGCATGGAAATGGCTTAAGCAAATGGGTCATTGAGTGATTATCCTGTACCATCCCCAACAAGAGAGTGATAGTTACTGTGGCAGCAGTAGTAATTGTTGTTGGTGGGTTTTTGTTTAAAGCTAAAAGAACTACGAATGAAAAAGGAAAATGTAGGTCAAAGGTGTTTGATTATAGTTTATTGGGAGCAGAAAGCCAGAAACACAATCTCGTTTAAAGGAGACAAAGTTAACTATTCTCAATCAAAAACACAGGAAAGCAAACCCCAAAAAAATAAAATAAAATAATCTATATATTAATACTCATTTGAGTTGGTGTGCATATTTTCTTAGCTCGCTTTAATTTTAATTGTAGTCAACTTTTAATATAAATTACTTGAGAAATTATCATTTCCTAAGATTCGAAAGCTTGGATAGTAAAATATGAAGTAATTAATCCTTCTTGCTACCTTAGCTTAGTCTTCGAAAAAAATGTTATAATGTGATACTGGACAGCTAAAAAAACATATATTAAATTAGTTTGGAGCTAGATACTGAAGAGTGCGAAATTGAAGGCTTTGATTTCAATCTCTTCATGCACAAAAAACAAAGATAATACTATTTTCATTGTACTTCTTCTATACTAAGAAGATAAATTCATTCGTAGGAGAAAGAAAAACAAGCTACGATAACTCCCCACCTAATAGCTAGTGATTGAGACTTTACCAGATTTTGGGGGTTAGAAAGGGTTTCTATGAGGAGCTAAAACGCCTAGTTGGTTCCTTTTGACACTCTTGCCACTTGCTACCTGGTTTTGTTTTTACCTGGCCAAACATAAAATTCTATAAACCTATAATTCTATAACATGCTAAGGTGCTATCTAATGATTAAATTTCATTAAATTGGTTGAAAAAATACAATAAAATTAGTCCAACTTGGCACAACTATCTACAACACGTGGTACGATAATTTGGAAAGAAAATACAGTAAACAGACCCTAAATTTTTATGTCGTAAAAAGACAAGCAGAAAGCCATGGATTTCAAGAGATGACAAGAAAAGGTTTTTTGGACAAGACACAACCTTAGAGCTAAATGGAATGGAAAAGGACTTGTTTGATGAAACCCTAAATGATCCAAACAATGACGAATGAAGAAATTATTAGGTATGATAGGAGTTGTATTCCATTCTTTCAAAAAAAAAAAAAAAAAAAAAAAAAAAAAAAAACAAGAAGAAGAAGAAGAAGAAGACCTATTATAAAAACAATTCATAAGTCTTATATTTGTATGCAAAAGATGAGTAAGTTGTTATCTTATCATATATTTTTGGTGGGACATATATAGACTTACTAACTAATGAGCTTCATGTTCTAAATTAACTATATTTTCCACAAGAAATCTTTCTCTCTTTTTTTAACTCTTTTTTATTGAAGAAGAAATCTCTAAGTTATTCATTTGAAGATCCTTTGTATCACACATAACTGACATTCTTCAATTAATTTCCCTTAAAAACCAATTCCTAGATGTTTATATTTTAAGTAAAAAAAATTATGAAAATATTTAAAAATTTAACTATTTGTGCTTGTTAAAAAAATTAAATAAGTTCATTATTTGCATGTTGTTTCATATGTTCTACTTTGGGTAGGAACTTCATCTTGGTAGATAAACAGATGTAGACGGAAGGAAAGTGAGAAGGCTAAGGACAGTACTAAGAAAATTAAAGATGAACCTAAAGCATGAAGGGTTACAAATTAAGAAACTAATCATTTAAGCTCTGGTAGTTTAATATAAGCTATGTGTCCTTAATTTCTTGGAAAACAATTAAAAAACTTTAATTGTTTCAAGGATCTATTTAAATATTTATCAAAAGAAGAAAATATAAGAATAGTTATTAATGTTGATAGTTGCACAATTAATGTGGAATAACACCATACCTTACTTATTTTTAAGTATGTTCTTAATTGCTTTTATACAATAAGTATACTTTGACGACAAGAGGGTCTTTACAAAAATATCTCACAAGTCAATTACCCAATAAATAAATAAATACTTTATGCATAATAATTTATTTTTTTTATGAGACAGAAATTATTAGAGAGTAATTAAAAAGTATTTCTAAAGCCTCACTTAACATTCCTAGAGCTTATTCTAGGTTAGATTTTTAGATTGAAAGGATTTTTTAACTTAATATTAGAACCTTGATGGCCAAGTGATTACAAATTCAAACCTCATCTACTTTTTTTCTTTTTTTTTTTTGCTTTTTTTTTGGTGCTAATTAAACACAAAATGCATTATTTCTAGAGTCTCACTTAAAAGTATAACCTCACTTAATAGTTTAAGTTTGGTTTGACATGATTTTTTAATAGAAATTGTGTCCAACTATTAAACTAATTCCAATATTCTTAATAAAATTAATAAAATTAAATTTTAAAAAATGACATGACCTAAGTGATATCACATAAAAAAAATAAAAAATAAAAAATCTTCAAAATTACTTAAACCTTACCCAAATACTTAAGATTTATAAGTTTTTGGTTTTTTTTTTTTTTTTCAGTCATATAACTAATATGTGCAGGTCACTCAACTTATTAATTATAAGCATGATATGAATTATATACCAAAAACAATCCATAAGCTTGAAGCATTAAACAATATACATGAAGAAAACATGTTTTTTTTTTTTTTTTTTAATTTATTTGCAGAATTTTGGGATCAAACTGGAAGGGTCAGAGTTTGGGGTAGAATTGAAATTTAGGATATATACCTTAACACACATCCTAATTAAACTCAAGCCTCTATGTCTAAAGATAAACTTCAACCTTTCAATCACAAAGATGGACTTCAACCTGGGCTTCTTTCAGGTGGTAGGAAGACACAATAATGTTGCATTAATGGAGATTTTGTAGGAATGCTATATATTTTGGTTAAGCATCTATTCTCATTTCTAATAGTACTTGATAATAAGAAGAGACACATGAACTTTCAATGCCAAAGGCAAATGTACTTTGCTATATATGATGCATTTCATGTCCTCCTAAAGTAAATGTTGTTAAGAGATTTCCTCTTCATTGAATAAAAATTAATAAATAAATAAATAAATGTTGTTCGATAATTAAGAAGAAAAATGTCACAAGCATCTTTTAAGACAAGTGACAGGAAATAGTCATATATCCATAACCTACTCTCATTTTTGTATCAATTTATTTAAGCCACAACAATGACACATCACAAAAATTTCTTCTCAAAGTATGAAATTCACAAAGAAAGTATACTGTAAATTAACCTTTAATAATATTGAGAAACAACAATATATGAATAATAACCATGAAACAACCTTTTCTATTGTGATGCCTTATATCTTACGTGGGTGGATTATGAAAATTTTGAATTAGATAGAATGAATGCTAAATGAACCTATATGAAACAAAGAATTCTGCTTGGATACTGAAAACAATAGACGCAACTCAGTAGATCTAAATAGTGTCATTCTTAATTGGTATACCATCAACATACGATTAATTCTCGTTTTCCATAGTTGTAAATTTTCTATTTATGTGGATACAATAAAAGATAAGTTGGTATACATATTTGAAATTTCTTAATCTGTAAAATCATAGAATAGTTTGCATAAAAGATTTTTGTTTCCTTAATTTATAAATGTTAATAGGATTCTTATAACATTGACGTTTCTAGATGGGGTTAGTATCTTCAAGTGTGAAGTTAACAAGCATATAGAAGCGGTCAAGTTTACTTGGAAGGGACACCAGCTAGAGCTTCATATGCATACAATTGATTAATTTGCTGTAAGGATAGCAAAGCATTACCTCAAATCCAGAGTATTTTACAATTTATTTATTTATTTTTATTTATTTGCATAAAGAATCCTAGCAAAGTTGAATTGCTTAATTATTATTTCAGCAAACTCTAATCCTTTTTTAATTTTATTTTTTTCCCTTAAGAAGTAATGGTTTTAGCTCTAACTTTACAGAAACGTTACAGTTCTCAAGGCATGCAGCATATAAGACCTTCAGAGTTAGAATGTTCTGAATGCATAGTCTCATTTTATTTTTAAATCAGAGTAGTTAGCGGTGTCTACCAAAATCAGCTCCAATAAAATCCAAGAAAAAAGGGAAAAGAACTAAACATCCTCTAAAGCTGATCACTGGTTGTTAGTTCCATATACAGCTTGAAAAATTCTCTCTTTTATTTTGTTTTATTTTATTGGTTTCATTCTTTGTTTATAATGCTTTAACCAATACTTCTAGCAATGAAAATAGTCCTGCTTGATAAAAGATAATCACCACTGTCCATATTTCATTCTTCCAATATGTGATTTCTGTGAAATCAACTTCTGCTAATGTTGAGCATAAAAAGAACCCTTCGTTTTAGGTAAATATCTGCGGTTAAATTTTGAGAAAACTTTTAGCAATAGCAGCCAAAAAAACATATATAAAGCATTGATTTAGCTAAATTTGTGTACTTTGATTTTAATGCAATATTGTGTGTGTATAAATATAAAATTATACAATTGAGGAAGACAAACACACATAGATAAGAGATAAATATATCCGTACACTAAAGGTACTATATTTCTAGGATACCAAAAGATACAGCAAAAGAACTGAAGCTTACATCTTTTATTAGTACTGGCCATACACCATCTTATATATTGCTGACGTCAATTATTCTCCGTCCCCCAAAGTTTGCCATGGAGTTTTAGTTCTGCAAAAATTGAGGAAATTGTATCAATTGTGACTTGAATTTGAGAAAGTATTATGTTTTCATAACAAACCTGCAGACGGATTCATGTTGTTAATAGCACGGAAGCTGGAATGAGCAATTGCACTGCTAATGTCCCAATTTTGGGCTAAATTAGGTAAGTAGCTGGTGCTGCCGCTGCTGTAGTTGCACCTTGCATCTTTTAACAATAGAAGGTTTTGCTGATAACCCATTGTTGCAGATGGCCTAAACTTCCTTCTGATCACTATCGATTCTTCGATGATGTTTCCTTTAGGCGATTGATTGGCAAATAAGTAGTGAGAGCTTGGACCTTCAACTTGCTCATGACCTTCAATTTGTTGGCTCCAGGACCTTGGCTGGTTCAAGCAACTATGGCTGGAGTCGGGAAATTTTTTTGGCACATGGAGCCTTCTAGTGCACATTTTCACTCTAGTCCTTTCCCTTGCTCTTTCTCTAGCCTTTTCCCTTGACTCTTTAGCAAGAACATTGACTGCTGTGTTTTGCAACTTCTTCATCCTAATTTTCTCATCAGAAAGACCGGTTAGTGACTCACTCTTTGAAATTACTCTCTCCTCTAGGTCACCAGTATCAGAAACAACTTCACAATTAGTAGAAGTAGAAGATAAACTTTTCAAGCCTCCATTCAGTGATAGTTCTTTAATGGCTTTTTTTGATTTAGTGAGCAGCCAGTCTAGGGTCTTACTTGCTTTATCAAACCCTAACATGTCTTGGAGATCAAAGAACTTACGGGCGATTTCAATAGATAATCTCACTCTCCTATCTCTCAAGCCTTTAGATGTGTAGATTTTACTGTGCCTATCTTTCTTCACAGATCCTTTTCCAGCAAGAATATGAGAAGGGTTGTGTTGTTCGCCTTTGAGAGCATGAACATCTTGTTCAGACATCATGGCGTTGCTTGAAGCTGCCATGTTCAGCTCGGTCTCAGTGGGTTGTATTGGGATGGTTGGGATTAAAGGAATTGTGAGTGGGTTGTGGTGGTGGCAAAAGAAAATATCACTATTTTCATGGTCAGCAATGCAAGGAGAAGTGGAAAGGTTTGGAAAAGGATTGGTAGCACTATTGGTTGAAGAGTACATTTGCTTCTTACGAAGGAAAAAAGTTTGATATCAAAAAAGGAAACTGCTTGTGGTTTCCATCCAGAAAACCTCCACCCATTTAATCTTTTTCAGATTCACTTCTCTGCACACAAGGACAGAATAAAGCTTGTTGAAAGACGTTCATTGTTATAAGACTGAGAATGAAAGCGTAATTAATTGTTAAATGTTAGGGATAAAAGGGGTTATGGTGTCTCTCTCTCTTAAACCTTAGGGCAAAAGAAAAGAGAGAAACTTTCCGTGCAGAACTGGATGTGAAACACATTTTGTGGCTCTTAATGTGGGAGCAGCAAATGATGGTGGGGACTGATGGCAATCTTTTCAACTTTTTAGCCCAGTAATTGACTAGGGTTACAGCTAGGTTAGCTAGGTTTCCAAATATATGTAGAGACAGTCAAAATGAGTCTAGGGCTGTTAGCCTTCAGAAGCAAGTATAGTAATGGTTAGCTACTAGCTTGCTTTACGCGCATTGCATTGCTGCGAAATGAGTTACATAGTCTCCTCATTATTTAACAACATACGATAAAGAGTTTCAACAATTTAATAATAAGACAGTTTAAAACATATAAAAAAATTATTTTAAAGCTTTATATAAATTTGTTTTACAAGGATGAAGAGCAAATAACACCACTTTTTATACATAATAATTAGTTGGATATCCGCATTACGCTGTGATCGAATAATTATTATATATGTAAAGTAAATAATTTGTATGCTTTAGTGAGGATAAATATTTTATTTTCGTAATTAATGTAAATTAAATTTATTTATTGAGCAAAATTATTTGATTTATATATATTTATTAAAGTTGTATTTGAATAATTAAAAGATTCTTTCAAAATATTATTTTAATTATTTTATTTAAAAAATATTAATTTTAGAATATAAAAAAGAATAAATAATAAATAATTTGATGTTATGTATACATAATTAATTTCTAAAAAACTAATGATATATATATATATATAATCATACTTAGTAGATTTAGAGTATATAGTATAAACAAATTTTTTTAGAAAAAAAGCATCTATGTTTTATGGAATATATTAAAATCAATAAATTGAAATAAAAACTATTACAAAATTGGTTCTCATAAATTTTACTTCCTAATTTATGATGAAAGAGATCCTTAAATCACAAATTAAATTATAAATTAGTTCATCTCATTTTGAAAAATTAATTATTTAATTTTTTCGGATTCAAAAATAAATTTTTTAATTTTTTAATTAGTGTTAACCACAAAAAAATATATTTTTTTATTTTAAAAAATGTCTCTTTTCATATTTTTATTTCTTAGTTTATGATGAAAGAGATTCTTGAATTACAAATTAAATTATAAATTTCATATTTTATAATATGTTTGTTGTTAAAAAAACAGGATTCATTTTTTAATTCATTTGTTCTTAAATAAAAACCCACAATAATATAAATGTAAATTTTAATATAATTTTTTAAAATATCTTAATATTTTTTTATAAGACTATATCGGAGAAATATATCAATAATCAATATAAAAATTTATATAAAAATTAACTAATTAATCTTTTTAAACTTTTTAAAAATATGTACATTTGATATATAGACACACACACACAAAAATCAATAATAGTAGGTATAAAAACATCTATTTGAATTATTATGTGATTTTTTAAAAATATTATTTTATTTAAAATAAATTAAACTTAGAATATTAAAAGTAATTAATAGGAAATAGCTGGTATTATATTTGTAGATGCATAATTAATTTTTAATCAAATCAATGATCTCAATACTTTTTCGTATACATCATTACCATACTCGTATAAATTAAAAATATATTTAAAAAAACTTAAGTTGTAAGAAATATATTAAAGTTAATATAGTGCAATAAAAATAATTTAAAATTTTATTTCAAAAAAATTGATTATATCATGAATAAGGTAAAAAAAAAAACAAGTGAATTCTATTATTTATTAAAAAACATATTGAAAATTTATATACAAAGAAAGAAAAATTATATTTATTAACAAATAAAATTTCATAAAAATAAAAAATTTAATTTGATGAGAATTTTTATAATAAACGATAAATTTAAGAGATTAATTTTAATCAATAAAAAAATATAATCCGATATATATATATATATATGTTCTAAAATCTAAAAACATAAGAGGCCAAAACATATTTTAAAAGTATCGGGAACAAAAAATATATTTTGAAAAAATGTGAGACAAAAATGAACTAAGTTTAAAACATGAGATGTCAAAATATTTTTTAAAATATAAGGATTTAAAAATATATTTTAAAAACATAAGGGATCAAAAAGGAATGAAGTGTAAAATTTGAAAATGAATGCCCAAAAAATAATGAAAATACCATTATATAAAATCATAAAATTGTCACTATAATGAATAGTCAACCGAGACAAATGAACGAGTAAATAAATAGTATTTATCGTTCATTTGTTTCGGTTCTTTTAGTTTTTTACTTAATAAGAAAAGATACAAAAGATGACTGCAATAAAAACATTTACTCCAATTTTTTTTTTATGTATACTAGAATAAATTATTAAATTTTTGGATCAAAGAAGAAAATAAATGTTTTTTTGTTTATTTACTCCAATAATGTATGGACATTCTAATTATTACACATATTCACAAGATAAAAAGATTTATTTAAATAAATAGACATACTAATTTATTCTAATAATGTATAAAAATTAAATCAAACAACTTATTTTCGATAGTTCAATTTAAAAAATTAAGTAAAATTAAAATAGAACAATAAAATAAACACTAAGAATAATTTTAAGTTTGAAAGACTTAAACAAAAGTATAATATAAGAATCGAAAAAAAAAAAAAGAGTAAATAAACATAAATAAATTTGCAATATGCATAGATAAAAATCATACATGACAAAACTACACCGACCATAATAGAAGTAAGATCACAAAATATGTATCAAAACAAAATAAATTCATAAAAAAATAAAAAAAAAAGCCAAATAAGGAGCTTAGCTACAGTAAAATTACATTTAGTTGAATATTTGATCTAAAAATTATAAAATCTTTTCACTTACACCTAAATATAACTAATAAAAATATATAGCAATAAAAAGAAGCACAATAAGAATAATTTTAAACTTTAAAAGAACAAAATATAAGTATGATATAAGGACTGAAATAAAAAAGCAAAGACATTTTTTCAGCATATAGGAAAACAAATCACATATAACAAAACACTAATGACCTCTTTAGATAAAAATAAAATAAAATAAAATAAAATAAATAAAAAGCTAAAAAAATGAGTTTAGTTACATTGAAACTACATTTAGTTTTAGTCGAACTTATGAAAAAAGTTTACTCACGCTCTTAAATATAATTAATTTCTCAAAAAAAAAAAGCATATATTTATTCGCAAGATAGGAAAAAAATATTTAAATAAATAAACATTTTAATTTGCTCCAATAATGCATTAAAATCAAATCCAAGAGCTTATTTTCAATAATTTAACAAAATATTTTTAAAAAAATTAACATACAACGAGTAAAAATCATTTTAAACTTTAAAGAAAAAAAATAGAAGAATAATATAAGGATCGAAATGGAAAAACAAATAAAACTTTACAATAGGGAAGGACAAAAATCACACATAACAAAACTTTAAGAAAAAAATAGAGATAAGTCGACGAGACAAGAATCAAAACGAAGTAAAATTCACTAAAAGCTAAAGAAAAAAAAAAGATCGTAACTACGGTAGTACTATATTTAGTTTTAATTAATTTTTTAATGAATCCAAGAGTCTATTTAAATGAATATATTTGTTTCATATACCATATGTACATAGATATTAATCCATTTTATTTCCAAAAAAAAAAAAAAACGTGCTTTTGTTTTGTTACACACACACACACACACACACACACACATATATATATATATAAGGCGAGAGGAGGAAGTAACCTATAAATTAGTCCATTTTATTTCTTTTTTTAAAAAAAATGAATTATTTAATTTTTTATATTTTAATTTTGTTAATAACTTAGTTATTCTATCAATTTAGATAGTTTGAGAATAAAAATTGCCAATATATTAAAAAATTGATGAAAAATTAAGATATTAGTAGAATTAAAACATGAAAAATTAGATAATTAATTAAAAACTAATTAATTCATTTTCTAAACAATAATGACTGATTTGTAATTTACTCGTAGAGGAGTGGAAAGAAAAACATATAGACGAGGACAAACTAGTAATATAAGCAACGAAATTGCAAGTACTCGGTTCTAATAATAGAGCTGCAGATGATGAAGCTACCATCTCTTCGACTTAACCACTATCAATGTCGGGCTCTTCTTCTTTTAGGATCGAAGTTGAGAAACATTTTTCTAGGATTTATTGTTTCTTTTTTGTTATATTAGTATAGCCAATTTACTAATTAACCATCAATATCAATAACTTATTGCTCAACTCGTTTTAATGATTTTTCTATTTTAAAAGGCTTCGAGTTTGAACATTTTCCTTATGAATAATAATAATAATAATAATTTACCAACCCTTGTTCGAAAATTTCAGGAAAGAAAAAGAACGTATTATAATCCCCATCTTGATTCTCTCTTACGAAACTAGGTTGATTTTATTAATTAATGAGTTCCCTTTCATTTAAAAAATCACAAGTCAATTACCCATGTAATATTGTGGCTTATTGTTAAAAAATAATAACATATAGATTTAATAAATCAATAGATTAGCAATATATATATATATATATCAAGCAAAGGTATCTATGTATATCAGTCGAAAGTTTATTTTTTTATAAGGTTTAGAGATTTTTTTCTAAAATTTCTAGGGATTTATCTAATATAAAAATTAATAAGAAATCCATATTTGATCAAAAACCAATTGAATTATATCTTAATAGCAACCAAATATATTAATTGTACTTTTTAGTAACCTATTCGAAATTTACTTTTCTTCCGAATCATTTGGTACACAAATTGATCACAAAATACTCTTATTATTATCGACTATCTATCTATCTATCATATATATATATATATATATGATAGATAGATAGATAGTCGATAATAATAAGAGTATTTTGTGATCAATTTGTGTACCAAATGATTTGGAAGATCTTAAAGAAACACCCATCACATTGTCCTGATACATTTGGAACAATTAATAAATCTTCAAGATTTAAATCTGAAAAATCAAGAAAGGGATCAAAACGTTTTAACCACCAAATCAATCCTTTGAAATTAAATAATAGATTTGCTATTCATGACATTAACATTCATATAAAATAAATGATGTTGATGCTAAATGTGTTAAAAAATTATCAAATGAGGATAAGTTATTATTGTTTAACACTAGTTAAATACACTTTGTGTCCTTATACTATATCAAAACTATCGTCATAATTTGTCTACTCGGATATAGTTCATAACAAATCTTATATTATTAAACATTGGTGCAAAATGATCCTTTTGTTAAATTTTTTTGCCAGTTGATAAATTTTTATTAGTTGATTAACAATTGACCAATCATGTGGTTAAAAATAAAAGTATAATTTTAAATAAAATTTTGAGATTAAAATAATTAATAATTATTTAAAAATTAGAAAATATAATTTAAAAATAAAAAATTCACTTTTTAATGATTTTATAATTATTATTAATTATTTTTCAATTTTAAATTATTAATAAATAATTTTTTTAATTTTAATATTTAAAATAATTATTAATAAAGAAAATTTTAATGATTTTATAATGATCATTAATTATTTTAATACAAAAATTTAATTATTAATTTTTTAATTTTTTTGAAAAACATTTAGGTTTTTAAACTAATTTTATAATAAAAATTAATTATTTTAATAAAAAATGATTACTAATTTTTTCAATTTTTGGAAAAAGTTTTCTTTGGATTTTTTTATAAATTTTATTTATTATTAATTATTATAAAATCATTAAAATTAATTTAGAGCTTTTAAAAAAAACTAATTTATTAATAATCATTAAAACTTGAAAAAACAATTTCAATTTTTTAAGGTTAAAATAATTATAATCTATTATAAATTCTTTAGAAATCAAAAAGAAAAAAAATGATTATTTTGAAATATTTCTTTAGAATTTGTTTCCCAATGTTTAATTATTTTATGTTTTAAAAAATAAAAAAAAACTGATTTTAAAAGAAAATTATATTTTTACTCTTTAGGCGACAAGTGTGATCATATGATTGATTAGACATTTATCAACTAATAGAAATTAATTAATCGAATAAAAAAAGTTAACGAATGGGCTATTGTGTGCTAATATCTAATAGTATAAAATTTATTGTGAATTATATCTACATGATATTTTCAGTATAATATTGGATACAAGGTGTATTTGATCCTTTTTTTTATTAAAAGAAAATTATTGAAACCTTTTGTTATTATTATTATTGAGAGATTTATTGAGCCTTGTAATGCTAAACTCTTGTGTTCTTAATTTATCTCATCCTAGATAAGAAATTGAATGTCATACTAGGATAGATTTTTATTTATTGGAAAACAAAATCTTTTTTTTCAGTGGTAAGAATGTCCATGTACTAACTTTGGTGTATTTTAAAACTAATTTTTTTAAACAGTGCTAAAGAACATTTTCCAACGTCTTTAATTTCTATTACCTTTAATTAATCCCTCACCCACAAGTTTGAGAATGTTGAATGTGAAAGTCAGGGATCAACCAATTAGAAACCCTGTACTTGTTGACCAAATTACCAAAAGCCTTTGGCATTGAAAATTACAAGTCCTACATCTTCTATTTATTCTTCCATCTATTCATGCCCATGTTTCCCGCTGATGCTCCTCCCTCTATCATCTCTTTCGGCCTGTCCTTGCACTACAGCGATCTACAGCTTTCCATTTGCACTGCAACATGGAAACCCCCAGGGAGTAGTTCTAACTAGTTGGATAGTCACGCTACCTTATGGATAGACAACCGTTACATATATAGGATTAATAATTCGTATATTATAATACAAGTAAAAATTTTTATTTTTAGTTATTAATATAAATTGAATTTATATATAGTTAATTTTTAACAAAACTATATATATAGATATATATTCGAGTATATAGAATAAATAGTAAAATTAAAAGACAAAAACCACCTCAATTGTACAAATATATCGAGGTCAACAGATTAAAATAAAAACTATAGCAAAATTAGTTCGATAAATTCTGAATAAATGTATATAAAAAAGCAAATAAAACTTGTGAATTTTTTGAACTCATTGTTATTTTTTAAAAAAATTGAGTCAAATTATGTAAAACATATTTTTAGCTCTCTCTTTGTGTGTGTGTGTGTGTGTCCATATATATATATATATATATATATATATATATAAGTAAAACACTCATTTAAAAATATACAAATAATTTATTGTATAAATTATAATAATATATTTTTAAAAAATAAAACATTGACGTTCTAAATTTTTATTCTGAAATTCATATATTAAAAAACCAAATTTATTAACAAGTAAAATTATATCAAAAAATTAAAAAAATTAATTTAATGAGAATTTTAATAAGAAAAAATAATTAAAGAAATAAATTTTAAAAAATAAGAATAAAATAATCGGATATGTATGTTAACATCAATATCAAAGATATAATTAATATTGGTTCGGGGACATTAAAAGTATCAATAATATATATGTTTTCTTTCTTGGTGAAGGGACCAATTATATATAACTGCTTAACTTGTATAGCACTTATGTTATGACAATATATATATTCTTTTAAGAGTTTCCTTTTGCCTCTTGGTGATCCAATCCCAAAGCACATCAAGATTTAAAATAATTAGTCAATTTTTTTTTGTCCTATCATAAGATTGGTGACCGGACTTTTAAAAATATAAAATAAATTATAGGAAGGAAAAAAAGAACGAGGTCGCGCCGAGTTGGTGTGTGCTTGTGTGTGTGTGTGTGTGTGTGTGTGTGTGTGTGTGTGTGTGTGTGTATATATATATATATATATATATATATAACCCACTTAAATTATATGGAATATGTCGAAGTGAATAGATTTAAATAAAAACTACTATAAAATTGGTTTAAATAAATTCTGATTATATATTTATATATAACCAAATAAAACTATGAATTTTTTAAATAATTATTAATTTTTTGAAAAAAAATCAAGTTAAATTATTTTTTTAACTGATTATTATTTTTTAAAAAAATGAAGTCAAATTATTTAAAATACACTTTTAGCTCCTTTTCTCTCATTAGAATATATATAAGCAATACCACCATTTTCATATAAATATTATAAAAATAATCAATCGTATAAATTATAATAATATATCTTAAAAAATAAAAAAAATTATGTTCCAAAAATTTATTTCAAAAGTCTTATATAAAAAAAAAATTTATTAACAAATTAAAAAAGAAAGGACAAACTAAATCTCAACAGACTCAACTCGTTAAAAAAAAGAAAAAAAGAGATGCTAGTAGGGGGAAAAAATTAAAAAAGCTACGAGTAATAGGAGTGTGAAAGATGCTACAAGCAATGAGATTGTGAATGACCGGTTTAACGACTTAGGTCTTTAAGAAAAAGAAAAGAAAAGAAAAGAAAAAGGCAAGGGGAAGAAAAGGAAGGGGGTTAAGAAAAAGAAAAGAAAAGAAAAAGGCATGGCGGAAAAAGAGAAGGAGACCGTAGCATGAACAGTCTCACCCCCATTTGGTTTAGTTTTTTAGGTAATGTTGCTTTCAAAGGACGAGTAACCATCAAAGAACCTATAGAGCAACCGATGGTGATATTTTATAAAAGTTGGTGGATTCAAATTTTAACTAGGGTGTATGAATTAAAAAATAATAAATAAAAAATGAGTACCTAACCGCTTGAACTAATGTTCCATTCATTTGGCATCTAATTAATGCCAAGATCACATGTACATTTACAAACTCCTACTCATAGATACCTATGATTCTTGGAACTTAAAACTCATTTGGCCTATAAATTGTACTCTATCGCCACTTCCATTTTTTCGTGTACCTCTTCCGTCTTTTTCCTATATTATAAAATAATTATTGTGGTGGATACACTCATCCAAGATGAGATCATATATAAGTCATAGAAGTGAGGATATAAACTAGCTAAAACCTAGTTTCAAACTAGATAATTAATTAATGCTAAAAGAATGGCAAAGAACAAAAAGAAAAAGAAAAAAAGTTGGTATTTTTTTTTTTTGAATCACAAAATATGGTAAACTCATATACTGGCTTTTTTACAATTTATCTCCCAAAAAGAATTGCAATTTATTTTATAAATATTTCTAATTAAGAACAACTCCTTTTTATTTAAATAATATTTTCATATAATTAATTAAATTGAAGGTTGAATTGTTTTAATAGATTAAAAGAAGAATATAAAGTTTGATTGTATGAGAGGATACCCGATAAGGTTTTTTTTTAATTCAACAATAAAGGTATTTTTATATTAGTTTACAAATAAATTAAAGCTACATTCTCTCTAAAAAGATCTTTTAAATACATCTTTCTTGTTGGTTTGATGCATTTACTTAAAAGAAAAAAAATCTTTGTTTGTAGCCTTTGTTGTTTTCTAGCCTTCTAGATTCTCCTCTTGGTATTTTTTATGCTTATTTACTTATATAAAAGACGAAAAAAACAAAACAAAATCTTAGTTTGTAGTCTACATTATTTTATAGCCTTTTAGGTTCTCCTCTTATTATATTTATGCTTATTTACTAATATATAACAAACAAACAAAATAAAGCAAAATCTTAGCTCGTTGGATAAAAACTATCCTTCTTTATTAGTTACTAAAATAATTTAAGTGAGGGTAAATTTTATTGTTGGTGCCCAAGATCCAACTATGTTTGGATGGATTTAATATATTATTGCATCATTTATTTTAATAAAGAAGTCGTTCTATTAATTCTTATGTTTTCATATTGATACATTTAATAGAATTATATAGAAGTTCTTATGATATGCATTTACAATAGTAATTGATCGAAGGATGTGAGACAAACATTAATGCATATAAATGATATCATTAAAAATCCTAAGTCGTAGCATTGTCAAGAATGAAGATTGAAAAAATACAAATAGACTTGTGAGTGCTATGCTCATACTATATGATAGCAGTAAGAAATCTCACACTTATTGTCATGTTGATGCCAAATCAAGTACTTAGGTGATTCATGTTAGAGGACATATCACTAGGCTTGACTCGCCATAAGAACCCATTTGGTTTCAGTCTATGGGAATCTCATACGAGATAGGTACAAATGATCCTTGAACTTAAAGTTATCATGGTTCTCTCATCGGAGGACTTATGGACTTTAACACTCATTTCAATGGACCCATTAATGGGTTGCACGTGGACGATTCATTGGGTGCACTAGGAATCCAATGGAGGTAGGTGTATGACTAAGATAGGACATGTCATTCCTTGTATGCTAAAGGAGTTATCACATTGCACTTCGATAAATGTTTGCTCGAGAAATCTGTGTCCAGAGTAGGAGTACACCAATAGAGCATAGTTGATTTACTCTAAGAGCTAAGATATTTGAGAATCGAAGAAAACTTGTGTGATCATAATCGAACAAGATTAATAACCAAGTTTGAGATCACATTATGATAAGTTGACATAAGGACTGAATTGTATGGTAACCATCCTCGTGAAAGGTAATAATAGATTAACTAATTATCTTAGAAAATTGGGTAATCATGATGCCTTACTAGAGGCCAATCTTGATTTATGTATCAAGAGATAAAAAAGGAGTTTTTTCTTCTTGATATATTGCCAACATATCTAAGAGCCTATTGAGTCACACACATAAGTTTAAGTATTCACATTATAAATGAGAAGTCGGGATATTGGAAAAATTTTCCAAGTATAAAAGTTTTCTGTTTTGGAAAGGTTTCCAAAATGAAAAGTTTTCTATTTTAGAAATCGATTGCCTAATTTTGGAAGTTAGTTTCAAATTTGGAAATAAAGAACATAAAAGGAAAGTAGTTTCCTAATTTAGGTTAAAGGGTATTTTGAAAACTTATTTCTTATTGTGGACTCTGCCTAAAATAATCTAATATTATTTATTTTGATAGTCCAAATAAATTAATTAGGCTAAAATGGTTTTGGTCCATTAAGTTTAATTAAAAACCTTAAGATATTTGGTGGGAGGATAAATATCAATTTTATTAGATAAGGATGAGTGTTTTAAAGATAAACATCAAACTTATTAGATAAGATTGAATATTTTAAAGATAATAATCAAATAATCCATATGTAAAAATAATTCCTCATCCTTGGAAGATAAGAAAGAAACAACCTAGAGTCCTAACGGGGACTTAATGTCGCCCCTCTTTTTGTCTTTGGAGGACAAGGAAACTCTTCCCTTATATATAGGAGGCGAGGTGCGGTATAAAAGAATGAAGAAGAGAAAGACTATTAGGCCAAAAAGAAAAGGAAGGAAAGAATAATTTCATCTAGCCTTAAAAATAAAATAGGGCACATGACCAAGAGAGAAAAGTAAGAAGAAACTAGTTTTCTCCTAAACCCTAGTAAGATATACTCTTTCCTTATCCTTTAACACCGTCACAAAAATTACCCGGGATTGATTTCTATAGGAAATACTAAATCAAAAAAGGTGAAGCTAGCACCCCATTGATTTTTAATGCTTCTTTGTAGATATTTGGATCGTGTGGATCATTAATAGAGGTCGGACACTTAGATAGTTTTTTCGAAAAGAAATTTAGATCTATGTCATAAGAGGTAATCCTTGATCCTTACTTTAAATTTATGCATATATGGTTAGTAGATTCAATGACTTGATATGAGACCTTTAGATGGAGGAAATTTTTTTTTATTTCATACCTCAATAGGATGCATGATCCTTCGGTAATATCATCGGTTGACTTAACTCTCTTCCTCCACTTTTTGACTTCTATCTTCAATGGCTCCACTATAAAGCCCACCGCCTCATGTGTCTTACCCAAAAGGTCACGATCGGACAAGTCGCTACTAAAACATATATTTTTTCATTATTCTTAAACATGCCTCTTAATTTAATCGATTCATCATTAAACATATCAATCAAAGCATATCATTAATAATATAACCACATGATCATTTGATCAACATAGTAGAAGCATTTCGTTAAAATTTTATCCATACTATATCCGAACGTCATTACCAAATTTATCACTAAATTCTAAAACCATCCTTCATCATAGTTCAACATTTATAAATAACTTCAACGTACTATTTCTATTCAATTACTATGCAATGATTCTCAAAATTCATAAACTTAAACATTTTTACATCTAATATTCATAAAAACATTCATAAACCTTAAGTATTGATACATAAAATCATATTCATTTATTAAAACATAACATTTTCTTCATTCTTTTAAGAACACGAAGGCAATCACATAAGTCACTAGTCATTAACAACGATTGATGATGTGTCATACCTTCAACAAATTAGTTATTTATATTTTTCTCATGGAATCCAACCATAAAGGTATAACTAAGGCACGCAAGGGTTGAACCCATAGATAAGTGGCCTAATTAATAGTTTATATTATTTGATTATTTTGTAGTGCAAATGAATTAAAGGGAGGTTTTGTGTTTGTGGTAATTTGTAAGCAATCAAAAAATAACTAGAAATAATAATAATGGAAAAGCCTTGGTTAAAGTTCTATATCCACTTTTAGTTTAGTTATTAATCATTGATTCAATTATTTACCTATCGTTAACATGAATATTCACCATAAGGCGATAACGTGTATGTTATTCTTAATCTTTTCTTAGTGATTTGTTAATCAAATATATGATATTTAATTAATTCCTTAGCTATTGAACAACCTACTAGACATAAGATAAATTTAATCCAATAATAACATTAGAGTAAAGAAAGACAAGTGAAGCTAAACCACCCTCCTAGATGCTAAAAAGATATAATCTTGTTCTATATTTTCTAAGAAATTAAATAAAAATGCATTTATAATCATTAACCCCTATTTACTATCACAAGCAAGTTTAGACAAGCAATTACATGGACTTGAATACTTAGCTAGCAATAGATTATGATGATCAAGCAATTATCATATACTCTAATCAATTAATCACACAAATATAACCAAATCATGCAGAGAAAACATAAAATACTAAAAAATGATAAGTTTAGAATTAAAACCCGATAGTATCTCACAACGATTTAACCAAAAGCTTCAACTTTCTTCAACCATGATGGATGTTTAGTTGTTCATAGTTGATTACAAAGGAGGATTTTCTATCTTTAAGGTTGTTAAAAGTTATAATCTTCCTAGAATGAGAGAATGAATAAAGTGAAATCCTTAATCATTAACTTGATCTTAATTTGCTAAATATGATACAATAAACACTAAAAACTTCAATGCAAAAGAGTATAAAAATCATGTTAATTATGCACTCATCAAATATCCATACACTTAAACTTTGCTAGTCCTTGAGCAAAATAAAAAAAATAAAACCCACTCACTTTCGTAGGAATCATAGTTATATTTAGCATATGCAATAAGTCTTTAAATCCCTAGGTTATCACTAGTGGACAAGTTATGTCTCGTGAGGATTTTCAAATGATAAACCCATAAAATTGCTTAAATGAACGTCATGCTAGTATGATTACCCTTTAAACATTGATGCTCAATTTAGAATTCAAATAAATCCAACGAGTAAATTGATCATGTTCAAGATATTATTCTCATATCTATGCATGTTTCTAAATTGATTTATGCATCTTTATAACTAATTACAATTCAAACATGCAACACTTATTTTGGCTTTACCTTTTTTCTACTACTACAAGCAAAGCAATAAATCAAGATTTTCTTTAATTAAAACTTTATCTTTTTAAGCGACCCAATTTTTTTTTTAAGGCCTTTAGTAGCTTTTCCTAAGTATCACTTGCTTTTTTACGCAACTATCAAAATTTGTAATGAAGGCAATCGATACTTAGCAAGTCATCAACCTAAAGTTCTTTGCATACTTATAATTCAAATTATCATTTAAGATAAAAGTAAACATTTGTGATGAATACTCCTAGTTAATAAACAACTCAAATCGGTAGAGTATAATTTTTACTTAATTAGGTCAAATTTTTCTAATGAAATCCCTCATAAATTTCTTTTTCAAATTTTCATGAAAGTTAAAAAATCTTATTTATTTAAATTGTGCTTAGGTCTAATTTCCAAAGGGTAATTACAAAGTCAGTTTTACTACCTAAATCATGTTAAATCATAATCATAAAAACACATAAACCTTTCTAGCATGTATTCACTTTTATAACAATAATATCCTAAATGGTCTCAATCATCTCAATAAATTTTGTTAAACTCATCATTAAACATCAATAAAAAAGAACATCATACTAAACCATGACATTCATTTCATCTTTTTCTCTTTTTATTTTTTTATATTTTTTTATATAAGGAAAAAACCTAAAAATAAACCTAAAAAATACACAAACAAACATAAAAATAATAAAAGAAAACTAAGTGCTATCCCCACACTTAAATCATATATTATCCTTAATGTTCAACGGAATTGATCACAAAAAATAAAACAAAATGCTAAGATAAAGGATAAGAGATCAAATCCGTTATTTCCATATCACTTAGAACATAGGTGGTGGAGGTGGTAGAAGATATGTCATGAAATCGTTGTAGATGTGGTTGAGCCGATTGCTAACCATTTGAAAATCGACCACCAAATTGCTATCCACGTGCTAGATTTGCTCATCTAAATAGTCAAAAAGACTATTGTAGTTGATTTAAAAGTCATCTATATGTGAGGTAAACTACTCCATTGTGTATGATTAAGCACTCGAGGTGCCTTTTAATGGAACTCGTTATACTCGCTCATAGAGCCTCATCATCCTCATTGCCCGTCTTGTCACTTGAGGAACTCTTCTTCTCTCATCATTGTCTCATGGTTGATCAAAAGAGGTATTTTTTTCTTTTTCTTTTCTAGAAACCCAATCTTAACCAACTTTTCTAAAATTTATGCAATTGGTCATTTTACTGGTGTCAATGTTGTGGTGTTCCGATCGAACATCTTATGGGTGATGAAACGACCAATAATAATGCCGCCATCATTGAACTTCATTAGAATTCTTACCTGCCAAGAAATGCTCAATTAGGATGTAGGTAAATTCTACCTTTACCTTGTTGGAGATGAAGAATTAAATCTCTAACTTCAACTTATTTACCACACCATTACTATTCTCTTGCTCACATAACGTCTAAGCTAAGATTTGGTGGATGAATTGAAATACAATGCTTATCATTATCGAGGTTTTCAGCCAAGAAGAATTGTATACCTCACTATTTGAACTTGTAATTTCTCTCCAAAAGAACCTTTCAAACCCGACGGATGGTTGCCTTGCACTTTCATGTGGCTAAACAAATATATTTACTATTTCAATTATATCACGAATGATTTTTCTATTGTAAAATACTCATAAGCTCGTAGTTGCTCATCAAATAATGTTTTAAATTAAAACAAACTCATGAATTTCAATTTTAACTCTTTATAAGAGGGTGTAGCCATTTCCAACAAACCAACCTATCTTATGATATCTAGCATTCCTCTAACCTCATTTAACAACCCAATAAATTTTAATACATGAAGATTAATGTACCTATTAGGTACTACTCTCCTATTCATCAACACATTATAATGAAATTTTGGATTATCGATAGCAAACTCAATTTTTAGGTAAATAGGGTGAATACCAGATTAGGGTGGGTAGCCTTCCTGTTTGGCCATCCTTTTTTGATGAACCCTTTTTTTGGCGAGGCTATTTGCTTCCTTTTATATATAGAGGTCGAAATTATTGCTTCTTGGTTAAGAGTAAGTGGTCAAGATAAGGTTCTTTGTTTGGGATTGAGTGGTGAAAGGGCTATGTCTACTTTCGAAGAAGTTGAGTGGTATGGTGACTAGTTTTTATTTGTGGAAGAGATTTAAAATTATAGGAGGTAAAGAGATGGAAAAATTTGGGTGGCTATAAATGGATATTTGGGGAAGATGAAGTTACATGTGTTAGGGTTTGGTATTTATAAGGGTCGGGTTTTATGAAGGAAGAAGTCACGCGTTTGTGTGAGATTTACATACCAACCATGTCTCTCCCCTTTTTGCCCATGTCTCTTTCCTTCTTCAAACTTAGTACACCCTTATATATTCTACATGGTCTTATGGAATTCTTTTTGTAAATCATATGCAACATTTTTTCCCGGGCCTTGTTTTCTTATTTGAAATTTAAATTGCCTTGCTCGAGTCACACAAGCTGTGCCAAAATTATTGTACAACCCATGTAATTCCTTTCTCGCTCATGTCTTTTTTTTCTATAAAATCACCACAACACTACTTGGTCATAAGGGCGTGCCTTTTCCGAAGGTCATCTCGTGTTGAAACATCCTAGCCATGTTGTATCTCTCATTGTTTTGAGTTTCTAGTCACAATTCATTAACATGAGCATGCCTTCTTACATGTATAAGTCGTGCTTCTAGGCTATTACCACTGTGACTTCCCTTATTGATTGATAATTTTTATCCACAACACACACACGGATATGCCTTTTTACACATACAAATTGTGCTCTTTTATTCTACATGTATTTATGTTTCTTCTCTTACCTTAACATGCCAAAGTTCACCTATTACTGCAAACATCTTTCAAATCAAGTCAAGCATAGGGGAGTTTAAAGCAAAATTAAACATTAATTTAAACAATATAATTTATAAAAATTCATTAGGTTACCTCTTAATAAGCATTTTTATTTAACATCGTTGGGTCGATGTTACCTTCTCCATCAATGGGGATCTATCATTTTCTAGTTGAAAACCATTCTCCCTTAGACCTTAGCATCATCCACATCAAGGATATTGAATCAAATTAATTCATCATTAAATAGCTCCATAATGGACATTTATGTTTTTCTTGGCTATCTTGAGGGACGGTATCCCTAGCAAAATG